TGAATATTTTCTTCAAACATATAATTTAGCAATATGATGATCTGATTGTGTAAATATAAAAATGTTCTCTCGTATCTGGCACTATTCATTGTGTTGTAAGGTGTAATAAGCACCAAATTTAATTTCTAAATCCAACCATTGGCTTCAGGACTGTTTTCATGTGGGTTCTATGAAGACTTCCAAATTATAAACTGCTTGCAATTACACATAATTACAGTTAAGTTTGTTGTTACTATTTTGTTCGGGATTAGGAGGCACAGTCAGTAACATCCCTCTGGGTTTCAAAGAATTTTGACCAACATTGAAACAAACACTGCAGCTCTATTACGATCCCATCCATCATTCCATCTCCACATGGAAACTGGTTTCTTGTGCTCAGTCAGCTACCTGGTCATTCGTAGCAAGTTCCACTCTGACCTAGAAAAGACTCGCACTTTGTCAAGCATTTCTATTTAAATATAACTCAAGTCCTCAAAACCACAAAGGTATGATGCATGCCAAGATACAATATGGTTACAGCATGATCGGGTAATAATTGCCTTAAGACAGCAAATTGTCATCAGATTTGGGAGCATGGAACCCTGGAATACTTCTACCCTTGCCTGACTTGGTATTGATTCGAATCAAGAACTGATCAGGTGGAACATCTTCACAGTCATGTAACAATTTTTTTCTTGCCTTTCCCCAAAGACATTGACTCTTACTTAGGTAGGGTTCCATGCAAGCCAGAAGAGCTGCGGTGTCTTGGAAAAACTGGGCAGTCAGGGTTTGTATACCAAGTAGGGCATGACAATTAACCTTCTTCTGTTGTCATCAGAGGCCTAGAAAGGTCCTTTTTTTTAACAGGCAACAGTGTCAAGTCAACAGGAGCTGGATCCCCAATGCTCTCAAGACCTATAATAGCAGCATATTCACTACACCATCACAGCACAACCTAGGAATCAACCTGAGACCTTCAAACCCATACCGTGCAGAGTAATCATCACTTTATTTGTGAACGGTAATTTTAATTCCTGTATAGCAAATACAGTGCTCATTTTTGATTAAACAAAAGCTGATACCTGGGCTGAAGTGTGTTGGCTTTAATAACCTGCTGCTTAATTACCAAAACTTAATTTCTCTCACAGCTTGCACTATTAATTGGCAGGGGCTTGCAAGAGGTTCATTAGCAAGAAACAAATCGGATGACTTGCTTTAAAAGTAATGTGACTGCTTTAGTGTTCAACTGAACTAATTTGTTGCTGAGAAATAAAAGCTATCTATAGTATCGAGATGTATCTGCGTGAATGTTTATCAGTTGTGTTGTAGAATGTACATTTATGCTGGTTTAGAATGATGTCTATTTGTACTATGTTTGTGGTCCGGGAAGATATATATACATGATGTCATAATGTGTATGTCCATGGCGTGTAACATTTCTTCATGCTGTAGGATGCATGGTTGTACCACTATATTAACAAAACCTCCTTGCAATTATTAAAAGTGAACCAACTCCACCTTAAACCTTCAATTCAATTTCCAACCCAGACACATTTCACGAGGGTTAAAGCAGTGGGCAATGCATGTAGATGCTGCACAATCCCCTGGGCTGGGCATAGTTAAAGCTGTAGCTGTAGCAGTGGCTAAGGAGTACTGGTGATTGAATGGTGGGATTCAACGGATATTGAGCAAATATTGATAGGTTCTACAAGCTTCTGCAAGCAATGCCACAAGAGGCCAACTAATAGTGAGATGTAATTAGACATTTGACAGGAACAAGGCAGAAAAGATGACAAATGGCTTTGTCCGGATGTGCAAACCAGGCTGATCTTGCTGAAGACCTTTGCTGAAACATTTCTGGAGCAGCCTGTGGTTTGTTGTATTCAGATGCCATTAATTTCCACGCTGCGTCAATGTGAGGGCACAATACCTGAATAAGTGACTTTGCTTTCTCCTGACTTTAAATACTCCTCTGTGTAGCTGTCACGAAAAAAAGGGGCAGCTTCTGAGCAGAAGCTGGGAGCGAGATATTTGTTCACCAGTTTCACTATACCACCTGGGTGTACAAGCGTACTCCTGCTGTGACCAACTCTCACACATTCATGATGAATGGTTAGCAGCATTTTAAAAGGAACTCCATTACTCCACCCATTTCCAAATTTCTTCCTCCTATCCTGAAGGTGTTTTTTTTCTGGGTTAAAGAACAATTGATATCAGCAGCTGTTTTTATCTTGTCTGAATAACCAGTCTTTATCCATCAGAGAGGGGGCAAGGGTGAGATCTCCATTATGCTTTTTAGCTGAGGTGGCAACACTGCCCAACCTGAACCTGCCTGCTTCATTGACAAATACAACTTTCTAAGCAGAATCAATGGACAGCGATGACGAGCAATCAAGGAGTCTACCACTTAACAATAACAATAACAGACAATAAAAACTGCAGATGCTGGAACCCAAGGTAGACAAACAGGAGGCTGGAAAAACACAGCATCTGGAGGAGGAGCAGTCAACATTTCAGGGATTACCCTTCTTCAGGACTGAATGTGGGGGTAAGGGGAAGCTGCAGATGAAGAGTGGTGGGGGGGGGTTTGTGGAATGGTTGGTGATCATTGAATCCCTACAGTGTGGAAACAGGCCCTTTGGCCCAACAAGTCCACACTGACCCTCAGAGCATCCCACCCCGACCCACCTAATCTACACATCCCTGAACACAGGTAATTTAGCATGGCCAATCCACCGACCCTGCACATCTTTGGACTGTGGGAGGAAACTGGAGCACCCGGAGGAAACCCACACAGACACAGGGAGAATGTGCAAACTCCACACAGACAGTCACCCGAGGCTGGGATCGAACCTGGGTCCCTGGCGCTGTGAGGCAGCAGTGCTAACCACTGAGCCACTGCGCTGCCCAATAGGTGGATGCCGGTGGTAGGTAAGACCTGGTTGGTCGATAGGAGGGATGAACCCGGTTGGTAGTTGAATTAGAAAGGAGGAGGTGGAGCTGGCAAGGAAACTGGAGGATGATTGGGAAGGTTATTTGAAATTGGAGAACTCAATGTTGAAGCCTCCAGGCTGTAGGGTGCCCAGGCGGAAGATAAGGTGTTGCTCCTTAAATTTGTGCTCCAGGTTGCTGTGACACTGGAGGAGGCCAAGGATGGACATCTCAGAGGGCAGTTTTGGTGGGGGGTGGGGGGTGGGGAGTTGAAATGGGTGGTGACTGGGAGGTTAGGTTGGCCGTTTCAGGCCAGGCGAAGATGGTGAAACGGTCACACAGTTTACATTTGATTTCACCGACGTAGAGAAGACTACATTGGGAGCACCGGATGCAATAGACTAGGTTGGAGGAGATGCAGGTGAAGCTCTGTCTCACCTGGAAAGGCTGTTTAGGGCCCTGAATGGAGGTGAAGGAGGTGGTGTGTGGGCAGGTGTTGCATCTTTTAGGGTTACAGGCGAAGGTACCGGGAGGTTGAGGGGGGGGGGGGGGGGGGGGGCGGTGGGTGGGTGGTGTGGTGGAGTGGTTGGTGGGGAGTGTGGTGCAAACTGAGGAGTGGCGAAACGAATGGTCCTTGTGGAAGGCAGTGACAAGTAAAATGCTCCAGGTGCTTTATGGGCGGATTCCAATACAAAATTTGAGACCAAGTCACATAAGAGGATGGTAGGACATCTGACCATAAAGGTCAGTAAGAGGTTTTAAGGAGCATCTTAAGAGGTGGAAAGAGGATTAGGGAAGAAAATGCTGGTCCTGGTTAAGGTCATGCTCCTGCTGTGTAAGTTAATGTCGCCATATCTGCTTTCCTGTATGCTATATCCCCTTTGTTTTATGAAGTTGTCTCATGAGGCAAGTTGCACAGCCTGAGTATATTTCCACTGGGATTTAGAAGGATGAGGGATGATTTGATTGAAGTGCATTAGATCGTGAATGACCCTGACAAGGTGGACATGGAAAGAATGTTTACTCTTATGAAAAGTCCACAATTAGGGGGGCCTGTTTAGACCATGAGACCGTAAGCTTTAGGAGCAGAATTAGGCCAATCAGCCCATCAAGTTTGCTCCATCATTTGACCTTGTTCCTAACACCATGGGCTCTTATTTTATTTAGAAGACTTATTTAGACCTTCTCAAATGCCTTTTGGAAATCCAAATAGATCATGCCCATCGGCTTCTCTTTGTCTAACCTGCTTTGTTACTTCCTCAAAGAAATCTAACAGATTTGTCAGGATGACCTCCCCTTGACGAAGCTGTGATGAGTCAGCCTTATTTTATCATGCACTTCCAAGTACTCTACAATCTCTAAAATACTCTAAAATCTTACCAATGACCGAGATCAGTCTAACCAGCTTGCAGTTTCTTCCTCCATCCCTTCCTAAATAGGGGTGTTATGCTAGCTATTTTCCAGTCCTCTGGGACCTGACTCCAGTGATTCCTGAAAGATCACCACCACTGTCTCTACAATCTCCTCAGCTATCTCCTTCAGAACTCTGGGGTGTTGTCCACACATTAATAATTAGGGTTCACTCTTTCAAGGCAGCATTGCGATGAATCAGGAGAGTGTTGTATGGCTTTGGAACTCCATTTCAGAAGATTGTGTCATTGAATATTTTTAATCTGGAAACAGGTAGTTTCTCGTTAGCTATGTTTATCGTTGGTGCATGGCAGCAACTTCTGGAACCAGAAGTCAATGTGTTGTCATGCCCACCAGCATGCACAGAAACTCTGAATGAGTCATGAGCCTATAGAGGGAACATTTCTAGTTAGGCAAAGATGAATGGAGGAAGACTAGAATGTGGAATTCAAAATACCAACAGGTTAGCCACAATTTTATTGAACGGCAAGCCAAGTTCAAGGGGCCAATGGTCCATTTCTGTTCCTAATTCATATGTTTGTGTGTTCTTCCCCCCCGTCCCCTGCCAAATAAAAATGTGGTTTCAACCAGGTTATTGGTGCAGCGTAGGGAAGATGGGCAAGTTATTTTGTGAGTAGTGCAGAAGTTCATTGGTGTGCACAGTAAGAGGTTATACTCACAGATTACGGCGATAGTATCTCTTCAGGAACGGATGGGCTGCAGCACCAACAGCAAAGTTACTGCTACCAGTGTCCACCAGAATGTTCAGCTGATACAGAAAGAGAAAACCATTATTTAACTCAAATAGGATCTCTCATATGTTCTGAATGCTAAAGGACACACCTACTGGTGTCATATACTTTTGAGTGTTTTGACTGTTTTGATAACACTGTATTATTGCAAAAATCAAAATAAAGCCAATACAATACACTGCTGTTCATCTCATAGGGGAGAAGTTGATTATTTAAATCATGACTTGCATTTATGAAGTAATTTGAAGGAACTGAAGATCAGGCGGAGTCCATTCTGAGGGTGGATGTGGTAAGAATGTTTCCTATTGTAGGGGTCACTGTTGACAAGTCAGAAGTCACCCATTTAAATCACAAAGGAGATGACAGGCTTTTCTCTGAGACGCTTGTGGGTCTTTTGAACACTCTTCCTCAAAAGTGGTGGAAGCTAAGTCTTTGAATATTTTTATGACAGGGTAGATGGGTTCTTGTTAAGCAACAAGGTGAATGGTTATCAGGGTTAAGAATCTAAGTACATTCAAGGCTGAGATAGACATGTTTTTAATCAGTTAGGGAATCAAGGGTTAGAGGAAAAGGCAGGAAAATGGAGTTGAGGGTTATCAGATCATGTATGATCTCATTGAACAGCAGAGCAGACTTAATGGACCGGATGGCCAACTGCTTCCCCCATGTCTTAAGGACTTATGGGTAGGCAGGAATGTGGATTTGATGTTGTAATCAGATCAGCCATGATCTAGCATGGTGGTTGAGGGGCTCACTGGCCTACTCCTACTGTTTGTATGTTCAATGGAGCATTACCAGACGCAATGTGACACTGAGCCATGTTTGGAGATATTAGGACAAATGAGCAAAGCCTGGTCTTGGTTTCTAAAGAACGTTATGGAGGAGGGACAAAGGTGTAGAGAGTTATGGAGGGAACTGGTAAGTTTATGGCTCCCAGCACGTAGGCTTTACAAAGATGGTGGCAATTCCAGTGCAAAAGCTGTCAGCTGCACTGAATCAGAATATTGCACAGGCTCACTTTTAAATCCACGTCCTCCCACCAGCTGATTTGTAAATCTGGCAAGTTTGTAATTGAGGTAGTGAGTAGCTTTGCTTCAGGAATCAATCACATAAACATGCCACTGACAAGGAAACAAATGGAGCTCTCAATATTGTCTGGAGTTACTCATACATTGCTTCAAATTGTTTGCACCATCACTGTCTATAGACAGGGCCATAACGAACCCTTCTTCCCAACTTCAACCAACTGTTTCACTGCTCAAATAGCCTTCCCATGACCCAACCCAAGACCAGGTGGAGAAAAACCCAGAAGGGGTTTTCATTTAGCTGAACACAGACGAATTGAACAAATCTTCCTTTGACTGAAATTCTAGGGATGCAGTTGGGCTAAGATCATACGAGGGGTCCACAGACTGCTGAAGCAAGGTGCAAGTCAAATCTTTCAGGCCACTTGGGCAAAGTCATTCAAATAGGGGTCTGCGATCACCAGTTTTGTACCTGAGATCTAGTCACATACTTGGAGTCTGGACATATAAACAATCAACCTCAATGCTTACTTTGAAGCATATAAGCCAGTCCCAATACTGCAGCATTCATCGTACAGGCACCACAAACACGATCCTCTGAAGTTGATTGTACCATTTTTAACTTTGACAGGAATAAATGGTTATAAAAATGTTCTGATTCCATCTTATCAAGAACTGAAACTGAAAGCCTGAGGAGCACAATATTTTACCACTAAGGTTGTATTAAGTCTCAGGGAAATCAGAAATGGGGGTAGAGTGAAGAGAACATTTTACTTTGAATGGGTAGCGGCCACATGCTGAGCCTCTAGAATATTCCTGCAGTTTCTGATGTTTATGAGATGTGGCAGTGATTGTTCAATTACACTTAGATGCTCTGTTAAAATGCTCTGAGGCAGAATTAAGATACTAGAACATAGAACATAGAACATTACAGCGCAGTACAGGCCCTTCGACCCTCGATGTTGCGCCAACCTGTGAAACCAATCTGAAGCACATCTAACTTAAACTATTCCATTATCATCCATATGTTTATCCAATGACCATTTAAATGCCCTTAAAGTGGGCGAGTCTACTATTTTTGCAGGCAGGGCATTCCACGCCCTTACTACTCTCTGAGTAAAGAACCTACCTCTGACATCTGTCCTATATCTATCACCCCTCAATTTAAAGCTATGTTCCCTCGTGCTAGCCATCACCATCCGAGGAAAAAGGCTCCCGCTGTCCACCCTATCTAATCCTCTGATCATCTTGTATGTCTCTATCAAGTCACCTCTTAACCTTCTTCTCTCTAACGAAAACAGCCTCAAGACCCTCAGCCTTTCCTCATAAGACCTTCCCTCCATACCAGGCAACATCCTGGTAAATCTCCTCTGCACCCTTTCCAATGCTTCCACATCCTTCCTATAATGCGGTGACCAGAACTGTACGCAATACTCCAAGTGCGGCCGCACCAGAGTTTTGTAGAGCTGCAACATGACCTCATGGCTCCGAAACTCAATGCCTCTACCAATAAAACCTAACATACTGTACGCCTTCTTAACAACACTATCAACCTGGGTGGCAACTTTCAGTGATCTATGCACATGGACACCGAGATCTTTCTGCTCATCCACACTACCAAGAATCTTACCATTAGCCCAGTACTCTGTATTCCTGTTACTCCTTCCAAAGTGAATCACCTCACACTTTTCCGCATTAAACTCCATTTGCCACCTCTCAGCCCAGCTCTGCAGCTTATCTATGTCCGTCTGTAACCTGCAACATCCTTCTGCACTATCCACAACTCCAACAACTTTGGTGTCATCCGCAAATTTACTAACCCATCCTTCTACGCCCTCATCCAGGTCATTTATAAAAATGACAAACAGCAGTGGCCCCAAAACAGATCCTTGAGGTACACCACTAGTAACTGAACTCCAGGATGAACATTTCCCATCAACCACCACCCTCTGTCTTCTTACATCTAGCCAATTTCTGATCCAAACCGCTAAATCACCCTCGATCCCATGCCTCCGTATTTTCTGCAATAGTAGAGGAATAAATGTCAATGGGCTGCATGGCCGTTTATTATTTAAAAAATAATTGAATCCCTACAGTGTGAAAACAGGCCATTCAGCCCATCATGTCCATACTGCCCCTCCAAACAGGATCTCACCCAGACCCCTACTTGTAACCCTGCATATCCCACAGCTAATCTACCTGCACAGCCCTGAACTCTGTGGGCAATTTAGCATGTTCAATCCGCCTGACCAAACACATCTTTGAACAATGGGAGGAACCCGGAGCACCCACTGGAAACCTACGCAGACATGTGGAGAATATATGAATTCCACACAGACAGTTGCCCAAGGCTGGAATCAAACCCACTCAGAGATAGTAAGAACTGCCGATGCTGGAGTCAGAGATAACACAGTGTGGAGCTGGAGGAACACAGCAGGCCAGGCAGCATC